TCTTCTTCTTCTTCTTCTTCTTCTTCTTCTTCTTCTTCTTCTTCTTCTTCTTCCACAGTCATGATCGTTGTTGTCGCAACTGCTGTCATCGTCATATCCCCTGATATCCCCAACGCCATTACTGCTTTCGTGCATGCCTATAATGGCATATCTTGAAGATACCTTCTATACTCTTCTAACAAAATCTCCTACCTGTACATGTTGTTTCAAAAACTGCTGATGAAGAGTCGGTCAGAGAATTTTAAGTCTTAAAGACGGCTAAGAATGTCTTGAATTAGTTTAATTCTGTTCTTGCATAGGAGGTGAGAAGTGTGTATAAAACAAAAAGGAGAGTGAGGGAAGGGAAATATAATATACGGGTTCAAACAAAAGAATATACGAGTACACAGGCACACAAACTGACAATCAGACAGGTGCACCAAAAAACCCCCCACTAAAACTAACGCTGACAAAATAGTAGTACAGAAATTATAATTATACAATAGGAAATGTACAGATTCAATTGTTGGTACACACCTACCGTCTGCAAACAGCAAGACTGACAAAGAGACAAACACGTTGACCTACGAATAGGTCCACAATGAAGGCGTGGGGTCAGTGTAGGGGGTTAGTGTATCTAATAGTATCATGTGACAGTGTGTGTGTGTATGTTATGTGTGTGTGTGTGTGTGTGTGTGTGTGTGTGTGTGTGCGTGCATGGGTGTGTGTGTGTGTTTGTTTGTACTTTGTGCCTGGATGTTCTATGCCGAAGAGGGGGCGGGGCGTTGCGAGAGAGAGAGAGAGAGAGAGAGAGAGAGAGAGAGAATGGGAGAGAGAGAGAGAGAGAGATAACAGAGGGGGAGAGAGAGAATGGGAGAGAGAAAGAAAGAGACAGAGACAGAGAGAGCTAGGCAGATAGAGAGAGATAGAGAGAGAGAAAGAGAGGGGGGAGAGAGAATAGGAAAGAGAAAGAGAGAGAGAGAGAGAGCGACAGAGACAGAGACAGCGACAGAGAGAGCTAGACAGATAGATAAAGATAGAGAGAGAGAGAATGGGAGAGAGAGAGATAAAGAGAGAGAGAGAGAGAGAGAGATAATAGAGAGAGAATGGGAGAGAGAAAGAGAGAGAGAGAGTGACAGAGACAGAGGCAGAGAGAGCTAGACAGATAGAGAGAGAGAGAGAGAGA